CCCGGCACTGCAACTCTAGAAAATGGAAGGAGCAGGAGCTGCTGGAAGACTGGGTGGGGAAAAAAGCAGGCAGGGATTTTCCTGGCTTCCCATTTTGGATGCCTGCAGTCCAGAGATCATGAGACAGAAGACTAACTTAAAAGGGAAGGGAGTTTAAGGAGACTGGTTCCTTGGGCCAGAATCCTGCCCGATCATTCCAGTTAATTGCCTCATTGGGATTACCTGGGTGCCCACTTAACCGGTTCAGCCGTGGGCCTACCCTTTGCAAGACGCAAAACGTCCTTGGCTCTTGTGCCGCCCGGCGGCTGCTTTCCATGTTTACCTATGAACATCAGCAGCACCCGAGAGGGCCTTATTTGGGTTGGCTTGAAAGCCACTGGACCTGCTGATGGAATGGCTTTTCCTGTCGACGTGAGTGCCCCCTTGGCGACCTCGGTCAGCACTTTCTCTCATTATATCTGCTGTGGCTCCAGAGGGAGGGGCAGCCGGAGGTGGGGAGGGCCAAGCTGGCAGAGTCGGTGTTGTTCGTTCCGACCGCCGCTGCTGGTGTAGGGTTTTTGTGTGTCGCTGTGTGGCTGCACAGACAGATGCGTCCCCCCCCCTCCCTCCATTTGTTTTGTTCCGTTCTGTCAGGAAGGGAGAAAAGCAGTCAAAGAGCAGCGGGTGGGGAGAGAGGAGGGGCTTTGCCAACAGAGCCGGTCATTCTGGAAACTAAGGCCTCTTTAATAGTAAAGCTTGAAAGAAGAATAAAAGGTTTTGATGAGGTGCCTTAAAGCTTCTTCCTGTTTTGTTTTTAATTCCCCAGGTCTGTGGCCATGCCCTGATGAAGCAGTACCAGGCACAGTTTTGGAAAACAATCCTTCTGATTAAAGAGGAATATTTGCCAAGGTATAAAGTGGAATATTTGATCATGCGGGAATGTTGTTTCTGGGGCAAAGCTCCCTCCCTCCATCCTTTTCTCTTGTGTCCTTGTTTCCTTGACCCGTCAGCATTCTTGTTTCTTTCTGGAGTCTGTCATGGACAATACGCACCTTTCTCAAGTGGTCGCACCTAAACTTAAGCGCGGGTTTCAACCTGAGATCTTAAACTAGGGCTGGGTAGTAAAATGCAGTGATTTTTGAAGTCTTGGATACAGTACCTTTATTAATACACCCGACAAGGTCCCATCGGTGCCCATAGCATCTTCTTGTTGGTTGGCTGTTCAGTTTTTTTCTCTTTAACCATCAGCGGATGATCTGTCTATCCTTACGCCGTTTCCCGATCCTTCCCTTTGCAGGATTGAAGCCATTACAAACGCCGGAGAAATGGGTTCTCTCATTCGATTCAAGCAGTTTTTGGAGGTAATACGGCGTTTCCTCCCTTATTTCGGTACTTCGGTGAGCGCCAAGTTGTTGTACGTTGCTGTCTCGCTGCTATTTCCAAGGACTTTGAGCTCTAGATCTACTAGACCAGGGGTCCCCACCCTTTATGTCCCCAGATGTTCTTGGACTACGATTCCCAGAAATCCTGGCCAGCACAGCTCTGCGGCGAAGGCTTCTGGGAGTTGTAGTCCAAGAACACCTGGTCTAGAAGTGTCAGTTGATCCCAAAGGGCTTCTGGCCACCTGATCAGATCCAGTCGACACAGTCACAGTACCTTTGCCAGCTTCCTAACCTGCCACTGAGTCCAAAAGAGGCCACCCCACACCGCAGATGGCTAAACTCCCACCACCATCGTTCTGGGCTTGTCTGCTTGTTGGGACAGAACAAATGCTGGTTCCTTTGCTTCGCAGCGGTGGAATACCAGTTTCAAAACCTTTGTTTTCCTCTTTCCTTCCTAGAAATGTTTGCAACGGAAGGAAATCCCCTTACCAAGAGGATTCCTGCCGGCGTCCTTCTGGAGGTCATGACTCGGCTACTCCCATGGGAGCCTTCTTAGAAACTCAAGCGTGGCCTGGCTCCGTTTGATCTTCACAGGCAAGGCTCTGAAGAAAGTGGATTGGACATTCGCCACCTTTCTGATACCTCGGGGTGTCCCATCGCCTTCACTCGCCTCTTGACTTGAATCCTCAGCTCTGTAAATGTCAGAGCCAGAGTAATTCTGTTTAGTAAATATATGTCATGAAGTATTTTACAAACTTTGGCTGCTGGGGTTTGGCTCTCTTAACCGCAGAATCCTGTTTCTTGGTCTGTTATTTGGTCTGGAGAGTCATGAGATTATACCATAAGGTCTCCCTTTTTGCTTTTGATGAATTTGAAAAGGCTTTAGTGCTTCGGGGAATTGGCAGTTTCCCTGGAAATTCAAAAAGTGGACACAGTCAGGAGGTTTCAGACTCATCCCAGGTGGCGTTTCTCCACTTTGTGCTCTTCCTTTTATCCCCCGAAAAGCCTTTTAAAGAAGAACTTTGCACGTGGTTGAAGAAAGAAGCTGCTCCTGTTCTTTGATCAGTGATATTTTTGGAGATGAGTGTGATTCTGTGGTTTTATTCATGTCTTTGGTGTAGAGGGGTAAGATCGCATTAACCGTGCTTGAAATTTCTTGGAAACCAGGGGCTTCCTCGTTTATGCAGCTTTTAAAGAGGCAATGTAAAAAGGGAGTTTATTGTATGCTATTTTATACATTTAATAAAGCAAGTCCATCCTTCATTGTTTGCATGGGATATGGTAACAGAGTTTGACCTCTGTCTGGTGGATTGTGGGACTTCTTCTCCCTCCCCCTGCCATTAACTTTCCAAACTTTGCTTTGATATGAGGTGCTCTTCCCCAGTCTGGTGCCTTGCCTGTTGAGGATTATTGGCACTGTAGTCCAGCACCTCTGCTTTGAAACCTTAAACTCTGTGAGGCTTTGTTTTAACCTCCTTCCACGATTGTCGTCTTCCTTTCTGGGGATGTCAGCTGTGTTAGCGGATTTTGCAACTTAAATTATCTGTAAAAGAGAAGTTTTCAAGACAGTAAGATTCCTAAACATCACACGCTTAAAAGGTTGTCTGTGGGCTGTATTTGCTTCCTGCTCTTCAGTCATAAAGCTCAAAATAGAGTATGATTTAAAGAGAGTAAAAATTAGATCCCATATTACAAAGTTGGACTCGAAACACTGTTTTTTTCACTCAGAAGAGGATAAAGACTATTGAGTTAATCCAAAGAAAAATTCTACACATACTCTACCACTTGAATATAATCTGCTTTTTCATGATGCTTCTATTCTTAACCATTAATGGATTTAAGGCAGAGATGGTAGATTTTGACCTGTCAGGTGTTTTGGCCTACAGCCCCCATCATCCTGTACCATTGGTTGGGGCTGATGGGCATTGTGAACCAAAACACCAGGCAGGACAGGGAAAGGAAATTTTTGCCTTCATGTCGATGCACGTTATTTGTCTCAGAGAGAGTTTAAAGGTGATTTGCCTGTGAAGCAGTGCACACTGAACTGCTGTAGTAAAGGGGATTTATTTAATTTAATTTTTTGAGGTAGACATGCATAGGATGCACAGAAACTGAGGGACCGAGACACATCTAGCTGTCTTTAAGACCTCTTTCTTTTGAGGTCTTATCCAAGACAGACAAGAAATCTAAGGTGGGTTGCGTTATAAGCAGAATGTTTTAGTTTTAATATTTGATGATGGCACTAAACTGATACTGCAGAGGGATTGTGTTTCATTTTGGGTTTTTAAAAAAATGTTTTTGTGTTTTTTGGGTCTGATGTTCCTGCCAAGTCTTGTGTAGCTCTGAAGGAAAGGGAAGGGGGGGAAAAGCCTCTTCGTATTCAGGTCCCGTTTCTAGCTGAATTGCTCTGAGTCATGCTGTTTCTGGAGAATTCAGGGTCCGTTGCAGTCCATGTGCTGCAGTGCAAAACCCACTGCAGCTTCTATTGCTGGCATTTTGCGGTTCCGCATGTGTGTCTGTCCTGCAGGACCAGAAAGCGGGGGGTGCCTGCCTGAGATTAGCCCCCACCACTTATTCCATCCCACTTCAAAGCCAAGGCTAGAAGGCTTTGCTGCCTTGCAACCCCCCCCCCCAAAAAAAAACAATCCAAGCCATTGAATTACCCTCCTTCGAGCAGGTTAGAAATCAGGAGCGAAGCACTGAAGGGGGGTCTTATCAGCCAGGTAACGCTTTCCCTTCCACCGTAATAAAGACATTTTTACTGAGCACTTCCTCGGCTGGATTAAAAATTCTTTTCGACTGCATGTATAGGATGACGCATGCATAAACCAACAAGGGAACAAAATCTTAGCATCTATGAGAAATGCTCAGGATAGCAGGGGATGAGGACAACACGGCCCATAATCCCCAACCATGGGCCAACTTGGCTGTGGCTGATGGCAACCGGAGTCCCGAAAGCAGCTCCTGCCGCTTGGTAATGCTTAGAGAACGAGAAGATTCACACGCACACACACACACCCCAGCTATACCCTTGCAAACTCCCAATAAAAGACCCTTTCTTTTACTCGGCTCTTTCCGGAACTCTTCGGAAACGGTCGGCTTTGTTTATTTCCCCTCCCAATAGACAGACGCTTCGGCTCTTTCTGTTGCTGGCAGGCGAAGGGCGGAGCCCGGACGAGGACCAAAAAAACCCACACCCTCGGGGTGGGCGTGGCTTCCCGCTACGGCTCCGCCTCC